TCCCGTCTGGCCCAAGCCATGGACGTGCTGTGCTGAAGGCACATTCTGCTCTCAATGGCCACTGCAGCCTCATGAGAACAGACCTCTTTGCTCTGATGATACCAAGACTTCAGACCAGTATTTCCCACCACGATGTTCCCTCCTCCTTTTCCTTCCCTTCAGGACTTACCAAGACACACCAGGATGAAGAATTTGGGCGACATGGCCCTGCTTCAACTACTCACAGGCACCAACTCCGTACAACTGGAAGCCGTACAGGATGTATTGAGAAGAGGGCCCAGTTTGCGCAGTTTGCAAATTGACCACACACGGAAATGCACAGAATACAGTCTCTTCTAATCTTGCATATGGCTGTGGGCAGTAGACTGACCAAGGAAGGAATCAACTTCCTGGAGCATCTTCAGAGTTTTTGCTTCACATCATATACACACATACCTCAGAGTTATTGTTGCTTTGGGTCCAGACCACTGCAGTAGAGTGAGAATCACTGTAAGGCAATTCACATGGAATTTTTGGTTTTCCAGTGCATATAAAAGCTATGTTTACACTATACTGTTAGCCTATTAGGTGTACAATATCAGTATGAGAAAGTATGAAATATTGTGAGAATTAACAAAATGGGACAGAGAGATGTGAGGTGAGCACATGCTGTTGTAAAAATGGCATTGATAACTGCTAGATAAATAGAGATAAGTATTGATTTGCGTGCGTGAAGGGAAGAGCAATGTACCAAATCTGAGTGATTAACATGGTGGCATTGAGGAAGTGGAAGACATAGAGAGGTGCATGGGAGGTACAGACAACAAAGCTGAATCCTTTTGCACATACAGTACTGCCTTGTCAGTGATGGCAAACATTGATCTACGAGTGGATAGTTGGGTGGACAGGCTGAACGACCAGGTATGTCTCTGCAGGGGGAGTGTGCCCTTGACTATGTATAGGGTTGGCAGACGATGTTTCTACAAGTGTATTTGTATGTTTTGTAAGAATTTCCAGGTATACAGTAGAGCTGACAAGGGACAAGATTGTAGTCACTTCTTGGTCACAGCCAGCTATGTGGAGGGAGGGAGTAGTTGGACCTGTGGGATCAGAACCATGGTGGCAGGGGAGATCAAGCTCAATTGGTGTAACATACTACATGAAACATTGTTCCACATCCTACTTTGGTGAATAGTGACTGGGATCTTAAAAGCTTGCAAGCAGCCATTTAGATGCAATGATGAGTTTTTCCTCATCGAGAGCAAAGAAGAATGAAGAAAACCAAAGATGCATGGAGACAATTAGTCCAAAGGACTGTTAGACCATGTGATCCTCAACCTATATGACTGTGAGAACAGATGAAGTAAATGGTGACCAGCTACCACTGTCAACCACTCAGAGGGGGATCTACGTCGGAGATCCTGGATAGAGAGGGAGAACGATGTAGAACAAAACTCAAAATCGTTAAAAAAAAAAGGGGGGGGGAGGAGGGGACCAGGTTTGCTGATGATAGAGCCTGGTGGAACCCCTGAGGCTATGGCCTCTAGCTGCCCTTCAGGTCTGGAATTGAACCCACTCCTGTGGCTTCCAGCCAAACAAAAGACAGGCATATGAGCTGACCATTTAAGTGAGGTAGATACAT